TTTACTCCCTCTCACACATATATACACTCACACACTTCATACACATACACAACCACAGACACACGCACACTCACACTATCTCACACACTCACACACACACATACAGAGGTGTTTGCTCCCTCTGTGCCTCACTTGTGAAAACTTCCCGAAGGCCTCAGCTATTCTTGGCCCTCTGGACCTCCACACACTCAGGTCAGGATGTGATGCTCTCTCCCTCTCTCCATGGACATCCTAGGCTCAGCCTTTGCCATCCTTACACATGGGCAGCCATGTGCCCTTCCTCCCCACGGAAGGCAGAATCTGTGGCTGAACCACACCCCAGGGCTGGCCTAGCTCACTACTGGAGAGGTATGTGGGAATGATGAATGGCTTACTTCCTCCATTCATAAAAGTTGAGGCATCTTTTACAACTACCCCCTCTCCCAGGGCGCCCTGTTAGAAGCCAGAGATGGTTAAACACGGGTGGCTGACTGACTCCACTCAGGAGCCAGGGTTTCTGGTTCTAATCCGGGTTCCTCCATTCCCCGGGCCCTCCGTGCCTATGTCACATGGGGATGGGGTTAGTGCAGGCATGGCAGGCTGCTCCGAGGACTCCGTGAGCCACTAAGGTGGCTGAAAGCAGACTGCACACCAGTCACTCACAGCAGCCTTGTGTTTGCACAGCACGGAACACCTCCCTGAGCACACAGCCTCCAACTCATCGGTCCTCGCCTCACTCCGTGGTAATTAAGACCCCGAGAGCATTAGATGTTGGCTCTGGCCACAGGACCCTCCCAGGACCCTCACTGCCCTGGTGGGCAAGTCTGGGTCCTCTGTGTGCTCCTCCCTGCACGCCCTGGGATCACACCTGGATCTCCAGCTGTTGGACCACCTGCATCTGCACGCGGCATTGGGCTGTGCTCCGGTCATCCAAGGCGTGTTCTGTGTTGAGGTGTCTTAGAGGGGAGGAGAGCAGGGAAGAGAGTGAGCCCTGAGCTTTCACCTCTCCAACCCATCCTCCACCCCCAACTCTGTCAGCCAGCCCTCAGCCAGAAAAGCAGACGGAATAAGATACAAAGAGAAAAGGGCGGGACAAAGGGGGGCAGCAACGGAGGAAGCCTTCTCCTCAGCCTCCTTTGATGTCTTAGCTAAAACCGGGCTACAGAGAGATCTAATTGCAAATGAACTAATTAAGTAAACCTCTGACGAAGCGTGAAAACAATTTGTTTGACCCTGATGCTGCAAGGGTCCGGGAGACAGCGGAGTTAATCAGTCAGTGACAGAGCTTGGCACTGTGGTGGCGGCGGGCTGCCTCCCGCCCCGCCTGTCCTCAGCTGGCCGTCCTCTCCGGGATGCGGGGAGATAGGCTTCCTCCGCTGACATCCCTGTTCTGGGGGCGGGTGGACAGCTGCCAGCAGAACTATGGGGATGGGCGGGAGAGCAGAGGAAGAGCTGGCCCGCAGCTCAGCTCAGCTGGGAAATCAGGGCCACAGGTGACAAGAGGTACTGGAGCAGGTTGGACAGAGAGGGGCCCTGCAGGGAGAGGCCGGGCGACACCTACTTGATAAACTGGCCCAGGTCTTCACACAGGGTCTCACAGCCTGGCCATTTGCATTCTCCATGTCCATAAAGGGGGGTGGGAACTGGGGGTCTCCTCATGGGAGGAGCTGGAAGGGGAGGAAACAGGGTGGTCAGAACCCGCCCCGCCCCTCCTCAGCAGCCCTGGGCCCAGCTTTTGTCTGACTGCTGGCTTTCCATTCTGTACACCTGGGCCCCTGAGCTCCAGTCCCCTCCCCTTCCCTCCCCCCCTCCCAGTCCCCACCATGCTGCCACCCTTGGGGTCCCAGATATAGCCCAGAGCAAGGAAGGCCTTGGCACGTGCTACGCCTAGGGCCATCCGTACCTGTCTCTCCGAGATGTGAGCACAGTGGGCTGTCCATTGGGTAAGGGGTGGTGGGAGAGGGGTGGGGAGACCTTGGGGGGGGCTGGCGAACGAGGTAGCAGTGGCAGCTGGGCTGGCGAGGTCCAGCCCCTCCTGCCTGACGCTGTCCTCAGCAGGCTGCCCTGGGGCACCCTCGCCTTTCCACAGCTGAGGCAGGTCTGTGGGGCACACGGCTGCTGCAGAGAGAGAGGCTGGCTGGCTGGGAGCACAACAGAGTCCGTGCCTCACCCAGGGCTTGGTGGAAGCTGTGGGGCTGGGGGCGGGGCGGGGCATCGCTCACCTTGCGGGAGGGCCTGGAGGGGCCCCGAGGCTTGGCTGGGCTGCAGGCTGACCAGCCCCTGCCTCTGCAGGTTGAGCAAATGCTGCTGCTGCAACTGTTGCATCTGCAGGAGCTGCTGCTGGAAGGCCAGCTGTTTGTTCCCCAGAGCCTGGGAGGGAGCCCGAGGGGGGTGGGCAGAGAGGGGCGCCGTTGGCCTCAGCCGTGCCATCTGGCCCCCACACTGCCGCCACCCCCTCCCAGGGCCTGTCAGCCCCTGGAGCTGTCGTGGTGGCCTCTGCAGCTGCAGCTTCTCTGCTCCCGGCCCAGCTTCCATAGGGCTGCATGCCTTCTCGCAGTAAACACACGCATGCACGCACGCACGCACACGCGCAAACACACACAGCCAGACCCAGACACGCAGCACGACGCCCTCCCTCCTCCCTCCTCCTCCTTGGCGGCAGCTTCTTCTATGCACACCGCAGCTGTGCGCCTGGGTGGGTGGGTGGGGGGGTTCTCATCACAGTGATGGATGAGCCTGTCAGATCTGGGGACCACTCCCACCTGGAGGAGACCCTTCCCACACGCCCAGAGCCCCCCCTTCTTCTAGGGCGGGGAAGTATTAAAGGAGTAGATGGGACCTGGCTGCCAGCCTCAGCGGGGTCCTGGAACAGTGACATCAACGTTGCCCAGACACAAGCTCCTGGTTCTGAATCCGTGTTCCCCACCCCGCCCCATTCAGTCCTCCACACAGGCACTGACAAGTCAGACTGTCGGCAAGTTTTCTAAGCCCAGAGAGCCAAGCATGTCCTGGATGTTTGGGAGGCCAGGGTATCTCTGCCTGCCCGCCCTGGGGAGGGGGCTGGTGTGTAGGAGGGGTGGCAATCCTTTGAGGCAAGAGAATAAACGGCCTAGATTCAAAGGCAGAGCTGAGAGACTGAAAGCTGCAGGCACGGGGAATTCCCCCCTGGCTAGCTTCAGAGCAGCATTCTGGGGAGGGGCTGCAGCCCAGTCATGAGGGAGACACGGCTGGGACCCCTGGGATCCGAGGGACCCCATGTGACCTCCCAGGAGGCACTGTGGCGGGAGGTGGAACAGAAGCTGGGGGGGGGGAGCTGTGAGAGGAAGCTGGGGGGGGCATCACGGGACCAGGACAGAAGCCAGGGCAGGCTACGGTGTGGGAGGCCCACTGCTCAGGGTCCTCCGGGTGGGGCAGCCGGCTCACCAAGGGACAAAGTGGGCAGCAAGATGGCGTCACATGAATCCGATAAGCAAAGGCCATCAGACACATCCGGTGACTTGCACACACTTCTACACACGTGTGCAGAGACAATACAGTTTGAGGCAAAGAGAGAGATGGGTAGGGATAAAGAACTGGAGGCGTGTGAATGTCCACCCCTAACTTCTTCTTTGGACCCTTCCCCCAATGTCTTCCTCCAATCTCACAAGGCCATTCTTTCTATGGCACTGGAGACGGCCGGCCGGGCTGCCGAAGGTGGGACTGGAGAACTCTGCCGGGCTCTGCAGCACTTACCTCTTTGGGCTGCTGTTTCCCAGCCTGCTGCTGGGTGAGAATCTGCAGGTGGAGCTGCTCTTGCTGCTTCTTGTAATATTCCTGCAGCTGAGGGGACAAGGGGGGGGGGGTTTGCAGGGGCCGCTAGATGCAAACCCAGCCCTGCCTCGCCCAGGCTCCTGCAGGCAGGGCATGAGAGCTCCATGAACACGGCCAGGCAGGGACAGTGTTCATCCGATCTCTCCGGCATGTCACTCTGTGTGTGTGTGTGTGTGTGTGTGTGTGTGTGTGTGTGTGTGTGTGTGTGTGTGTGTGTGTGTGTGTGTGGCGGGGATGGGGGGCGTGGTGTTCCAGTACTTTACCCCGCTCCCCCAGAGTTCTAAAGACAGAAGCGAGGCCAGCATGTGGGAAGGAAGGGTGGGAGGCAGCTGAGGACTTTCCCAGCAGCCCTGAAGGAATGCAGCTCTGTCTGGCCTGGGCAGTCTCTCTGGTTTCTTCCATGGCATAGGTCCTCAGTGAGGCTCAGGGAGGGAGCCGGCCGGGGACTAGACTCACCTGTTGGAGCATGAGAGCTTGTTGCTGCTGCAGCAAGGCCTGCAGCTGAGGGGGTGACAGGATCTGCTGCATCTGCTGAGGAGTAAGCATCTGCTGCGACATCATGGCCACAGACACGGGCACCTGTGGGATGCACCCATCAGTCAGAGGTGGTACCTGGGGCACGGCAGACTTGCCCTCCAGAGTGCCTGCTGGGTTCACATTCTGGCTCTGCCACCCATGGGGCTGTGTCTCTTCTGATTTTTTTGTTTTCAATGGATTTATTTATTTGTTTGTTTGCAGGTAGTGATCAGGCAGGATCTCATCACGGGTCCCAGGTTGGCTTTGAACTCCTAACCCTTCTATTTCCCAAAGTGCTGGGATTACAGGCCTATGCCTCCATACTCTCATTTGAAGACATTTCCACTCTATAGCCCAGGCTGGTCTTGAACTCCTCTTGGCCCAGTCTTCCAAATGCTGAGATTACAGCATCAACTCTTCAGGCTACCAGACGGCTAACGATAACAGTAGTCGGGGGCTAGCGCACAGCAATGGTCTATAAAGGCTGTGATTTCGGGATGCACGGTTCCAGGTGTGGGAGATGAGGCGGCATCGGAACAGGCCACCCGGCCACTTCCAGCTCTTATGTTTGAGACTACCAGCTGAGCCTGCTTAGGAGAGCGGCTGGGAGATAGTTAAAAGTTATCCCATCTGCGGACATGTCATGGCCCATAATCCCAGCACACAGGCAGAGTTTATGAGTTTGAGACCAGCCTGGTGAACACAGCAAATTCCAGGCGCTTGACATGATCCCACCTGGCGTCACTCTGAACGCTCATGTTCACGGCACACACTGCTGGGACCGTTCTGGTGAGTGTGCAGGTGAATGGAGTCCTATTTACAGTGGAGCAGAATGCATAGTAGGTCAGCAGGCTTGGAGTCGCTTGCCCTATGTGGGAGGTCACTGTCCTCAGACATCAGACACAGGAACTGGGCTATAAGAACCAAGGGCTCCCAGAGCCCAAGCAGAGAAGCTCCTGAGCCTGTTAGAACTCCCCAGAAGGGGCAGAGGGTTTCACCGACAGCACTAATGGTTCAGGGAAAAAACAAGGATATCATATTCACCCATAGCCCTACCTTCCCTGAATTACCTCAGTCACAAGGCAGTTTGGGCCACTACACAGCCCTACTGTGGCGAACAGGTGCTCTGATGGGGCTGTCCGCATCCCCACCAGTCTGTGAGCCCTGCACACACACTCCAGTCTCCCATGCCCATGCCCTGATACAGGACCTGACACACAGATGCTCCCTGAGCTGAAGCGCCTTCCACACCTGGCCAGAACGGTGCAGGCCCTAGGACCCGGAGGGACGACAGGAGAATGGCCTGTCAGGAAGCAAGGCCAGCAAGCAGTCCTGGGGCAGGACAAACTGGGTGTCCAAGGGATCGTCCCTCAAGTCCCTCAAGCCCAGCCTGGCCCGTGGGGCAGGGGAAGTAGGGTTGCTTCCCACGCCTTAAACCAGAGATTAGAAAATCCCCAAGCACCGAGTGGTGGTGCACTCCTGTAATCCCAGCACTGGGGAGGCAGACAGGTGGATATCAGTGAGTTCGAGGCCAGCCTGGTCTATAGAGAGAGTTCCAGGACAGCCAGGGATACACAGAGAAACCCTGTCTCAAAATAGAAAGAAAGGAAGGAAGGAAGGAAGGAAGGAAGGAAGGGAAAAGAAAATCCTCAAGCAAGGGGAGCAAGCGGGGAGTTGCGGTGGCCGTAGACACCCCTCCCCCCCCACCAGAAGTCTCACTGCCCCGACTCTTCTCTGCACCCACAACCAGTGTCTGGGCTCCACTCCTGAGCTTTCCCCAGTACTCCCAGCCCAGATCGGCTTGAAGGAGGTGACAATTCAGTTTTTAGTCACAAGCACAGACCTTGCTTCAAGCCTGGGTGGCTGGGGGTGGGGAGTGGGGGGGTGGGGGTTGTGTGCTTCTGTTTTCAGGCCCCATTTTTACCTGGAAGTGAATCAGACAGGTCAGATGGCGGGGACAGCACTGGGACCTGAGTACTTATCTACCAAGGACAGGGTCCCACCATAGGCTGGCAGACAGGAGCTGGGCTAGTCCAACTTGAAGGCCCTGTGGCTGAGATCTTAGGGTGACTGCCCTCTTTGAAGCTTCAACCCTAGGGCTGGGTTGGGGCCCTGTGGGTAGAGCTCTTGCCTAGCATGCAAAAGCCCTGGGGTGGAACCCCAGCACTGCATACAATCAGATGTAGTGGTACACCTGTAATGTCAGGACTAGAAAGGAGGAGGCAGGAGGGTCATGAGTTCAAGGTTATCTTGGGATACATGAGACACTGACCCAGACTGGAAAACTAATAATAATATGGTAAGAATAAAAAGAAACTCAGTCAGGTGGTGGTGCACGCCTTTAATCCCAGCATTGGGGAAGCAGATAGATGGATCTCTGTGAGTTCGATGCCAGCCTGGTCTACAGACCAGATTCCAGGACAGCCTCCAAAACTACAGAGAAACCCTGTCTCAAAAACCAAAACGAAATAAAAAATAAAAAACAAACAAAAAAAACCAAAAGGGAAGAAGGAAGGAAGGAAGGGAGGGAGGGAAGGAAGGAAACGAGAGAGGAAGGGAGGAAGGAAGGAAGCAAGGGAGGAAGGGAGGAAGGCCAACTCGACTCGGGCCCCAGTCCTGTACACATTTGGGGGGCAGAGGACCGGGTAAGGCAGGCTGATCACAAGGAAATGAGACAGTGCCTGACGTGAAGGGAATGTATCTAGGAGCTGAGGGTTGGAATGGATCCCAGTTCGACTCCTGAAGGACAGACTCTGGGGTCCCTGGAGGCGGGAGTAGCTTGGGGCTTCAAGCCGCCATATGGTTCGGGTCTGCCCCCTTGCAAACGAGCAGAAGATCCCCAGGCTGACCGTGTACTGACGCTAAGCGAGGCAGACAGTGGTGCCGAGGAAGGGGGTCTAATGCCTGTGATCCCAGCATGCAGAGGCTGAGGCAGGAGGATTACCTAAATCTGAGGTCAGCCTGGCCTATCGAGTAAATTCCAGGCCAATCAGGACGACAGCATGAGACCCTGTGTGAAAGGACAAACTAAAGCAGGGATGGGAAGGAGTGGTCAGAACTTGTCCAACATAAACCAGGTGTGACAAAACAAGGAAAAACACCCACAAGACAAAAACCCATAAAATACAAAGCCAAAGCAATGGCACAACTTCTAGAACCATGGAGCTGAGACAGCGTCAACGCTGGCCCTGGCTGCCTCCTCCAAACTCCTTCCTGGCCGACTGCTCACCTCCAGTGACAGGCACTCCTCCACCTTAATGCCGTCTCCAAGCTCACCGAGGCTGGCTGCAGGGAGACGGTAAACGAAGCTGGAGGTGAGGGACAAGCGGCCTCTCCCGGAGCAGAACGTGCCCGTGGGACCCCAACAGCTTCCTCCATTGTCCGCATCACTCAGGTCCCAAATCCACAGCACACACTTTCTGCTAAGGGCCAGCCTTGGTTCTCCCATTTCTCCTCTAGCCCGAAGCTCACAGGAAACTATTTCTAGACTCCTGGCCCTGAGTGCTTCTTGAGGACATCGTTTCCACAACCCCATCAGAGACGGTGAAGGTGGAGTGTGCAGCATGGGAGGCAGACCTGGCTGCAGGACAAACAGGGCTGGGGAGAAACTCAGCCCCAGCTAGGTCCCTGGGATCCCAGGGACTTGAGAGGCGCCGGTTCTTAAGTGGTCTAGTCTCTGCCTTTATTTGTAGGATGCTGCAGTTGGTTCTGTCAACTTGACACAACCTAGAATCACTCGAGGGGATTGTCTAGATACAACTGGCTTGTGGGACCGCCTACAGGAGACTGCCTTGATTACATTAATTGATGGGTGGGGGTGGGACCCAGCCTTAAAGTAAGTGGCATGCTTGCAGCACTCCCTGGCCTGAGGAAGAGCAGAGGAGGCGGGCTGACACCAGGCACACACGCACACATGCATCCATTCTCTCTGCTCTGCTGTGCTGCGCTTAGCCGCCCTGAGTTTCTGCCTTGACTTCCCTGCATTCGTGGCATGGAACCTGGACTTGTGAGCCAAACAAATCCTTCCTTCCCTGAGCTGGTTTTCGTCAGGGTCTTCTATCACAGCGACAGAAATTAGGGCATGGAGTGACTTTAGACTAGTTAGTTAGATACTCTCTCTGAGCCTTGGCTTTCTCATTTGAAAATGAATTAATAATAGCAGCTGTCCCATGGGTATGAGGACAAAGTGCCGGGATACTTATAAAGGGCCAGCCTTGGGTAAGCACTCTACATCTAGGCTGGTGGGGGGAGTGGAGGGGGTTCATTTAGTTAAATTCTTGAGAAGGCCTGGAGTTTGATCTTCAACACCCACCCCTGGGACCAGCCGGTGTAACCTAACTGCTGAGTTCCAGGCCACTCCACTGAGAGACTGTCTCGGGGATGACATGTGACGCTATCCTCTGGCCTCCACGCACACACATATATGTGCACACAGTGTGTGTGTGTGGGGGGTTCCTGCTTCACAGTTCTCACCTCTACTAAGATAGGCCAGCATGGGAAGGTCACTGTCGACCCAGGGAACATCCCTGGAGAGGTCCCTCATCCTCGGAGACCTAGCCACATACCCCATGAGAACTGTCTCCCTTTGAGATCTGCCCCCTCCCGGGATGCCTTTTCAGACTCTGTCCTCCCCAGCCTCAGCCACAGCCCTTTGCCAGCTCCCACTGGAAGAACTCTCAGGTTGCTCTGGTGGCCGAGGCTGGCACCTTGAACCCTTTCAAAGCGCTTTTCAAACACAGAAAGAAAAAAATCACAGGTAACTTCGTGAGCACTGAGCCCCCTCCCAGGACCACGCTCAGTCTTTCGTCCCTGAGCCTATCTAAAGTCCGTTTCCCTAAGTCCTCCAGGTCCCCTTGGACCCCAGAGGCTCAGGAACAGGTCTGCACAGGGCTCACCCCATCCCCCTCACATAAACTTCCTTCCAGAGCCCGGCTTAATCCCGTCCTCTGTCCCAACCACCCCCTCTGCCACGGCGGAGGGGCTCTGCGGCTGGGAGGAAGCGGCTGGCCAGAGTAGTGACCCATGGGGACCCAGACTGCAATTCTCCCAAGTTCTTTGTGCCACAAAAGGTAAACAGAAGGGCAGGCTCCCCCCACTCCCTGCCGCTCCCCCTTCCCCTCCAGCCAGCCAGATGGGCCGACAGGCTGGGGGGAGGGGGAGGGGGAAAAGGGCAGATTGTGCAAAGGAAGACAGAGGAGACAGGGATGGCAAGAGACAGGAAACAGGGAGAGACAAGGGGGAGGGGACTCAGTGATTCTTCAACTGAGAAATCTGGGAGGGGCCAAGACCCAGCTTAGGGACAGAGTAACACGTGGGGAGGAGGGAGGACCAGTGGGAGGAACCCCAGTGAGTCAGGTCCAGAGAGAGGTGTAGACAAAGAAGCCAGGCGGACCCAGGCCTGGCCGATCAGGTGGAGGCAGGGGAGGTGTTGGTGCCTCGCCCCACCCTGCAGTGACTGTACCTTTCAGGAGTGTGGGGGCTGGGAAGACCAGCTTGCTCTGAGGGGTCTTTGACGCCCACCCCCACGTGCCAAGCACATCTCCCGAGCCTCTGCCCTCCATCCGAGCCCAGCCTGGTCCTGGTGGGCGCGCCCCCTCACCTGCACTGCAGAGGCCGACTGTTTGCTGTCATTGTTCCCCGGGGAGTTCAGGCTGGAGGCTTGCTGCAACAGGAACTGCCGGGCCACCTGGAGAGCCTGTAAGACGGGGCTGAGTCGGTGTGGGGCCCAGCAAAGCCTCAGAAGTGGCTGGGATCATGGATGAGAGCACAATTTGGGCAGTGGGGGGGATAAGGGGTCCACATGGGGTAGGGATGGAGGCAGGGGTCCCTGAGAATGTCAAGGTAGGGATCACAGCAGTCTTCTAGGGCTCACCTGGGGATCATTAGTTTTCAACTGGGACAGCAAAGGAAGGGTCAAGGGTCACAAGGAAAGGGTCAAGGGTCACAAGGACTCCAGGTGCGTGTGCAGGAGGGTGAACGAGTAGGACAGTAGGAGGCGCTCTTTCTTTGCTGAGAATCCAGGGGTCTGGTGCTTCAGATGTTTGCTTGTTTTTTGAGGCAGGCCCCGGCTGCCCTGGAACTCACTATGTTCAAGACCAGACCATCCTGGGGCATTAGGACGCTCTAGATTGTCCTTTACAAAACTATGAGTTAGGGCTTATCAGCCTTCTCTTCCAGACAAGGCAGCCAAATCTCTAGGAGGTTAAGTAACTTGCCCCAAAGATCAACTGACCAGTCAGGGAAGCCACCGGGGCTGCACTGCCTTGAAGCTAGGGCACACGTGAGGCGGGGGTGGGGTGGGGGTGAGGCAGGGGTGGGGTGGGGGAGTGGTGGAGGGAAGGGTCAGTGGCCCTGAAGAAACCCATCAGATTTGAAGGCTGTGTCTAAAGGATCAGTCACATGAGTGACTGGGTTTGGTGGCCACAGTGACAAAGGACTAAGCCAAGGGACTCTAGGAATGGGGTGGGGGTGGGAGTGCAGCCAGCGGACGGAATGGTAAGTCTGGTAGCACACTGGTCAACGGGACCCAGGAAAGTGCTCCTCTGGGCCCAGCCAACACCCTGTCCCCAAGATGTGGAGGTGGCAACCGCGGGGACCTGTCCAGTAGATTCCAGGTTCCTCAAAGGCCTCCTAGAGAGCCTGGAGACAGGGCTTTGGCACCAGGCAGATGCAGGCTGCAGTTCCAGCTCTGGAGCTCACCGGCTGCGGCCTTGGGTAAGCCATTCCATCTCTTGGTGGTTCTGTCTCTTTATCTATACAACTGGGACACTACCCACTTCAGAGCCACGCGGAAGGACCAGAAGACCAGGGCTGGCGCCTCATTGGCATTCAGGAAGTGTATGCCCTTTCTTCTCAATGATTCCCAGGTGGCTGTTCTACTTATCCACTGCCATGGGCCCACACTTGGCACATCGACATGACGGCGCCCAACGCGTAGCTGGCTCTCACACTGGCACGTGCGCCTGTTTCTTCCTCACGGGCATTTCATCCTCCTACCCCAGCATCTTGAAGGTAAAACTCTCTTCTCTCCTCTCCTCTGACTTCTGAGGATCCAACCCAGGGTCTCCTCCACGCCCTTAGGCCAGCGGCTACCACCGAGCCACACCTCCAGCCCCAGCAGTATCCCGGATGTGTGGTGGACACTCAAAGCTCAGCAAACACCCTCTGAGCGCCCACTGTGTGCTCAGTATAAACTATAAACATACAATGCACCCGCGTGGCCCTTCCCAGTGTTGACCGGCACTGCTTCCTGGGGCTTCAGCCTAGTTTACCTTAGGACACTATCTAAATACTCACTGGTGTATCTATGGGAACGTGTGTGCTCCTCGGCAGCCCCGTTCCCCAACCACCCCCTGCTCCTTCCTCCAAATGGCTCAGACTTCCAGGCGGAGTCGGGATGCTTTAGAAACAGAAACAGGACTTTTCTTGGTCAAGACACTGAGAAACTACAGGGAGAGAGGATGGCAATGGGTGTAGAAAGACAAGGTGCCGCCCAGGGGCCCCTCGGGAAGGAATTCTGGCCTCTGTTGCCTGGCTCTCCCGGATCTGACCACACATAATGCTCCTTGTCCTCTAGAGGTGGAGATCACACAGACGGGCGGGCAGTAATGGGTGGGAGTGGGGACTGACCCCCGAGCTGGCCAGCACCGGTGATTCAAAAGGGACATTAGTCAGTGGGGAGGGTGCAACAGAAGTTGGGGAGAGAGCCTGGCCCAGTCTCTGAGGCTGCAGAGTGGCCAGGGGAGCTGAATTCACTCCTCACCAACTCTCTTTGTGGCTCCCTGGAGCACGAAATTACAAGATTTACAGGGGCCTTGGCCTGGAGGGTTAGGAAAGCAAGTTCCTCTCTCTTTCCTAGAGCCAGCCTGGACCCATCTGGAATGTGGTACCACCTAAAGAACATGCTATAGTGGTGCATGTTGACAGACTCCAGGACTCTGGTCTAAGCCCCCCTCCTCAGATGGCCGCAGCATGCCACACTTCGATCGCTCCCTCAGTGGGCAGTAACTGCTGTCCTGGGCTGTACTCTATGCCATGAGCTTTGCTGTTCATGTACCTGGCTGAGGATGGTGCTCTTGGAGCCTTGGGCATCCCCCCGCCTAGGCTGTCTTTGTAGATTGTTTGCCCAATGGGTCAGGTAGGTCTAAAGCATTGAAGTTTCATTCATTAGTGTAAAGCACCAAGTGCCAGCATCTGCCCCTGCCACTGAGGGTTAAATAAACCACTGACCTCACAGCCTGAGACATGGAAGCCACAGGCCCTGACCTCACAGCTCACCTTCTTCAGTGATGCTGACCAGGACTGGAGCCACTGTGTGTGTGTGTGTGTGTGTGTGTGTGTGTGTGTCTGTCTGTCTGTCTGTCTATGTGTGCGCGCGCGCGTGCGTGCGTGCATGGGCATGCATGAGCACAGGTGTATGTATGGAGATATCACTGCACCTCTTCTGGCTCGCACCCTTCACCTGTACCTTCTCTTACGGAGCTGAGCAGCTCCCCCCCCCAATCTAGGCCCCAAGTCAGCAGGGTCCCGGCAATCAGGACAGCACTCATGGTGGAGGGGTGACATAGGAAAGCTCCCAGCAAGGGTATAGAATGGAGGCGGATGCAAGGCTAGCTGTGGGAACAGGGTTGGGGGTTGTGACAAAAAAACAAATCTCAGGGACTGAGGCCTCGCACCTCTGGGATGAGGATGTGGGGTTGAAGATGGGATGTTCAGAACCTTCAGGCAGAGACCCCAGTTTGTATTGTTCCCTCCCACCCTTCCCTGCGTGTGTGTGTGTGTGTGTGTGTGTGTGTGTGTGTGTGTTCGAGCACGCATTTGTGTTTGCATGTGTGTGTGTGTGTGTGTCAGGAATATGCTGGAAGGGCAGAAATATAACAGTGTTGGAGAGCATCCAGCCAACTGGGGTTCAAATGTTAGTTATGCCTATCCCATCAGTACAGGAATGTTACACAGGTTAACAGATAAGAACATATAGATCAGGGCTGGATAGATGGCTCAGTGGTTAAGAGGACTGACTGCTATACCAGAGGACCTAGGTTCAATTCCCAGCACTCACACGATGGCTCACAGCTGTCTGTAACTCAAGTTTCAGGGAATCTGACACCCTCAACCAGACATGCAGGCAGGCAAAACACCAACTCATATAAAATGAAACTAAATAAATTAAAAGAAAACAGAACGTGGAGATCCAGAAAGAGGTCTAGGGCTCACCCAGAGACACAGTGGCAAAAGCAGACCCGAAGTTCACCAGGCCTGAAGCTGAGCTCTGTGCCAGGAAGGAGCCAGGGCAGGCCTGGGTGATGATGGGAGGGGCCTCCGAGAGCCAGCCTGGGTGATGGGCGGGGCCTCCGAGAGCCGGCCAGGGTAATGGGCGGGGCCTCCGAGAGCCGGCCTGGGTGATGGGCGGGGCCTCTGAGAGCCCACATCAGTGGACTGCATTCACCTGTGGTGCTTTCTTGTCTAACTCCGAAAATCCACACTTTCTTGTCTGCCTCTGGAAAGTTTTTGACAAAACTGGAATTCAGCCCCTTCCATATTTGTTGATATTTATGTGAGCTTCAGGGGTCAACTCAGACCACTAAGCTCACAGGGCGAGTACCTGTAGGCCATGAGCCACCATGTTGGTCCTGTGTTGATCGTTAATGCGCTGAGGGCAGGCTGGATGGAGGCGAGGCGGGGACCAGGTGTCCAGGAGTGCTGCCTCCAGCTGCCCCTCCCGGAGCCTCAAATCTGAGACGCAATGCAATCTTACCAAAGGCTGTCAGCGTCAGGCCAGGGCAGTCTAGTTACTGGCCTGTCGTCCCAGGAGCCACTGTCGAGTTCAAGGAGGAACTCGTAACTACCTGAGCTCCCTAGCTTAGTGGGCACGCAGGAAAACCCCACACAGCTAAGCCTCAGGCTGAGGACGGCAGACTACGTAAAACATGGCCAAGGGCCACCTCTACGGAGACACCTCACTGCACAAGAGGCTAACTCTTCCCAGGGAGAGTACTCGCGACTGGAAAACAGTGGCAGAAAGGCCCTGAGGTAGTGAAAGCAAAGCATGGGGTGTATCATAAACCACACCCAGGCCAGCCAGGTGGTACACGCATTTAATCCCAGCGCCTGGAAGCAGAGGCAGGAGGATCCTGAGGCCAGCCTGGGCTACACAGCAAGACCTTCCCCCTAAACACACACACACACACACACACACACACACACACACACACACACACACACACCCCTTCCCCGCAGCCAAGTAGCAGGCTGAGGCTGAATTCTAGAGACTTGGAGCAACTCATTAAATAAGGGCAGGTTTTTTTTTGTTTTATATCTCTGTATACATGTGTGTGCACATGTTCCTCTGCGTGCGTGTGTGTGCACACAAGAGTCTGCACGTGGAGACCAGTGGTCAATTCTGGAATCTTCCCCGATAGCTCCCCTTTTCTTTTTACACAGGGTTTCTCCCACTCTTGCCAACTTGGATGAGTTGGCTGGCCAACAAACTGCCCATCCCCGCCTTTCCAGCACCCAGATTCCGGCTTTTTAAATGGGCCCAGGGACCAGAACTCAGGTCTTAATAAATATGTTTATGCCAAGCACTTCCATCGCCTGAGTCACGGGGTGGGCTGTTTGTGTTTAATATTTTTTCCTTTAATGTGTAGGGTCTTATTTGTTTGTTGCCCCCACATCCTTTCCCAGTGCCGCAGAGGC